TCAATGTGCTCATCTTTGATATTTCCTGGTGTCAATAGGGGCTTTCCTAAACACCCTCAGAGGCCCACATAAGGACTACTTCAGGTTTTCACACTGTTATTTTACCACTGGAGCCACCCTAATACCTCCATCTGAAGGTCTTACCATGTGCTGGCAGTCCCTCTGCAGGGAACACTTTGTTGTCCCCACCTCTGCTCTGCTGATGCCCAATGTCACCCTGGGCTGCCTGTCCACACCTCAGCTGCATATGGAAAATGTTATTAACTGCTGTTAGCCTTCCCCACCCAAACCCCAGTTCTGTACCCCTGAGGTAACACAGCTTTTCCAGAAAAGGCCTTCAAAACCCTTTTGCAAATACACTCAGTAAAGGAACACTGGCAGAGAAAGTAAAGTCCAGTCAGCCTTCATTTGGCTTGGGAAGGAAGAAGCAAAGCATAACATTACTACACACATTGAGAGGTTTGTAGTTGCCCAAAATCTTCCTCTTATCTCTGTAACAGTTGTAAAAATGACATTCCTATAGCAGGGCAGTTGGATTTACTTTCAGTATGAGTGAGTGTACTTTTCCTAACCTTACTTTCAGAAGTAGCTGAACTATCTGGTCTGATACCCCCCCCTCCACCAAAAGTGTTTGCTTGCAGCAGTACTTACCTAGGAAAAGTCAGCCTAAATAATTGTCATTTAGCAAATGCAAAGCACTCATACTGTTAGGCAATCTTGCCAAGAGGTCATAATACCAGGTCAGCCCAAAATATACTATGAGTAGCTGGGAGTGCTTGTCTTTATACATACTGACTACTACAGATTAGGCAGAAGATAGGAAAAAAAGAACTGGAGAGGAAGTGGGCTTCAGAGACCTCATTATCACCTTCGAATGAGACAAAATAATGTCTGCTAAACTGCAGTTGCTGCATGTTACAGTGCTTTCTTCTCTCTCCTCTGGACTGGTTACACCTCTTTGTTCATCAGTTAGCTCAAGGCAGCTGTACTGAGCTGCAGGTTCCCTTTCACAGAAAGACACCACCCAAACCGGCTGCTAATGCTCTTAAGAGTGGCAACAATGAAAAACGTTTACGGTGTGACAGCTCTTGCACAAAACGTCACGGACTGATCACCTTTCCTCTGAGCTTCTGCTGTTTTCTTTGCCTCATCTGTTTTTCCAGGATAGCTCAGTGCACTGGCTGACCCACAGAGGTTTAACTCTGAATGGGGATCATCTCCCTGTTGCCAGGCTTGGTTGCTTTACTGCATTGTTGCTAGCAGAGTGCTTCTTGCTTTCTCCCTTGTTTACCAGGAGCAGGAGAATAAGAAGATAGTTGTAATTGTTAGACACATGGCAGATGGAAAATGGATGCTAATCTAGACCTTAATTTGCCTTCTTATGCATAACTGGCATATGGACAAAAGTTGCAGTGGCTTTTCAGGTAGGAAAATGGTTGTACTTTAAGAACTCTACATTAAAAAAAAGGGAGAAAGCCTTTTTCACCAAAGGTTAACTAGCATACACATGTGATCAGTGGTAGCTCTAATGCTGATTAGTTGGTGGGGATGTCAGCAGACTAATGTGTATGTATGTGTGCACACGTATAGTGTAGCAGAGACTTAATATTAACAAGATAAGAATATTTAGTTAATGTACGTTTGAAAACAGAAAATGTGGCTATTGCCCTGCAAAGAACCTTTTAACTTTCTGGTATGCACTTTATTCAGTCTGACAAATTTGGCACAGCCATGAAGGCACCTGAATGTGTAAGAATTCTGTGGTGTATTTAAGGGTTAGTAGAACAAAACCCACTTCTTACATGTATGACATTTTTATAGGCTGTGTTACTTCTAACATTACACACCACCTCCTTTTATTTATCACCCTGTCCCTTGCATACATCTCCCAGACATATCACTGCTAAGACAAGGACAAAGATTTTAGCAAAGTTCATAAAGATCTGCAAGGATGGGTCCACAAAGCTCTGTGAGGATGGGATCTATCCCAACACATGAGGCATTCCTACAGCTTGCCTGACTGCATTACACCCAGCAATGGACCTTTGTAGTACCAGGCTGCAGCCCCTCCTGGAAGCTGCTAGAACTCAGTACTAGCAGTTGTGAAGTTGGGGCAGCAGAGCTGCTAGCATTTTTGGTTTCCTACAGTATTTTTTAGACTATGTCAAGCAGTCTGTAATCCAAAGCCAGTGTATATTATAGCAATCAAAGCCCAGTAGGTGAGGATATAAACAAACATGGTTCACAAATAAGGTTATTTCTCTTACTGAACTCACTATGATTGTGCAGAAAGGTTATGAGCATGCTATTATCAACAGACTGTACATACACAACATTGACCTTTCGTTTTGTAGTTTTGGAAACTACACGTAGGGATTGCTTAGGTCTTTGGAAGAAAGCTGCATAGACTTTATTGGTCACGCTTTCTTAAATATGTTATTTGCATATTCTCTTCTAAAAAGTCTCTCATCTTCTTTGCATAAACATTTATTTAATTTTGATCAGTGGTAATAATAACTAATATATATATGCTAGTGTAGTCATTCATAATTAATAGATTTGCACATGGCTATACAAACACTATTTTTCCATGTTGGACATAGGCATCAAGATAAATATCCATCCTCTCTAACAAAAGCTCTCATTTATTCAGTCTCAAAATATTTAATAAATCTTCAGTTTGCACATCATATCCTTTATCACACTGACACACATTAAAAGAGAAGGAACATGGTATCATAATTTTGTGTAGAATTTTAGATTGAAAACCTATGCTCCTTTACAAAAGGAGGTTAGTGAATTAGGTAAATGAAAGCATCAAAGTAGTCACCTTGTCAAAAAATGATGCAGTGACTAGTACTCTTTTATTGAGTTCTATGGGTTTGTTTCTTTTACAGAAAAGTTGCTTTTTAACTTTGCTGAATGCTTTCAAATTATTAAAATAGAGAAAAGAGCATCTTGCTATTTAATACCATATTATTTTTCAATAGCAGTCATTTTCATCAGCAGTTCAAAACTGCTCTGTGAGAAGAAACATCACATGCATAGGTAGAGAGTTGATACTGATAGTGGCCTTTTATTATTCATTTCACATTAGCCTCCTCTATAAAATATTACTAACATAATAAAGCTACAGGATGCAGATACACAAGTTTCTCTTTTCCTCCTTTTCCCTTTATATTTTCCTATAAATGCACACTTCTATGCAGTTGGACTGTTGCACAAGTGCAGTGTTCAGTAAACAGAACAAATGCCAATATAAAGATCAATAAAACTACTCAGGAAAGGAAAAGCATATTACTGACCACCATTTTGAAAGCTATGCAGCATTATGTTTGTACTGTAGTAACAGAGTTTAGATACAGACAATGATAGTACAATCCCTTCAGTTGTGGATTTAGTTAAACTTTCTTCTATTTTTTAATTGATTTCCATAAACTTTATGGTTTTCTAACCTTTTGGCTAATTTCAAACTTGACAATTAAGAAGACTATTAGAGACACTAAGCTTTACATGTAACGTGAAAAGCCCCATTAGGTAAAAAAAAGGGGGAAGTATCTAAATGCTTTCTCCTACTGTGGGAAAAGTAGGGAGAAAATGATGTTCAAACAACTGACTGGGACAAGGTCCAGGCCACACAGCATGTACATACCAGCCAGTCAAGTCAGCACATGTGTAGCTCCCGCCCAGCCACAGCACACATCTTTCCATCTCACAAGCCAAAAATAAGGTATGAAACAGGGAGGGTAAGAAGAGAAGGAAAGGAAACAATAGCATTATGACCTTGGGGAGAAGAAACAAATGACAAGGATACCATACTGTAGACATTGAAGGAAGTATAGGATAGAGAGAGCGAAGAACTGGGGAAGACAATAACTCGCATAATTGCTTTAAGACCAGCTCACTGAAAACTAGGCTTCATTTATCAATTTAAAGAACTGTATTAAATTCATCATACCTCAGCACACTGGTCAACTACAGTACACACAGGTACTAAAGCTCACAGCACCAGACCATGGAAGAGCCAAGGGAACAGCTGCCTACATTTAAACATGCAACACAGCAACACATGCACATCAGCTGCGGCCTTGCTCAAAGGCAGAAGATACTGTGGTAACCTGTGACATTGGAGTCCAACAACTTCCCTGTTGTATTTAGCAGACACACAAGCTAATAGGGAGTATTTCACATTAAATTTTAAGAACACAGTATGTAGAATATCCTCTCTACTAGTACTTTACCCTACTTTTCCTGCTTTAGGGAGGGAGGTCAAAACAAACAGTACATTAGTAATCACATTTGTCATTCAGTCCCTTATCTTGTATCTCATTATTTCTTTGGCAAGAGGAGTTACAGTATTTCCTTTATAAATCAGATATGCTGGACAGACTATACATGTTTCTTTGCTAGCCAATATACCTTGCAGGTTACTGATTGCCAAAACACTCTTATCCAAAGCTCTGAGAGGTAAATAACCTGTGTAAGCTTGGTCAGCCAACAGGACAGCACACAACAGCAGAAACAGATTGGAGCTGTGTAGCAACCAGGCAATGGGTAGCTACACAAATTATGGTAATGGTGCAATAGCTCTTCTCCAGGTCCACTGCCAGATGATAGGCTACCCATTCCCAACCCTATACCAGAGATGTTCTAGATTAGAGGCTCATTTTATAATAAATACATACCATTTGAAAGAGTAGTCTGCACATTCCTGAAATTGCTACATTCACAGCATGTTTATTTTTTATACAAGCAATTCATATTTCATCATTTTACTTGTGGTGCACATTGAGTGGAAAAGAGGGTAAAGCTTACTTTTCACAGCTTTAAAAAAGTCAAGCTATTGAGTTACTAGGTGGCTAACTTTGTTAATTGGAGTTCTAGAATATTTCCACCTATGCTGAGGTTGGGTGCTTGCTTTAAGGCAATACTACACTGCTGAATTTGTAAGCACGATAAGTTAGCAGATCATCATCAGTTCAACGTGGAACAATTAGAAACCTGTTTCAAAGTTTTATTAATTCAAGTAATAAAAAAAAAGTTACAGCAACTTCAAATATGTACAAACAGCCATAAAAACACCATGTTCAGTTATACAGGAGGCAATCTGTTACAACTTGGCTATAAAAATCTTTAGTCTCAATAAACCTCCCACAGGGGTAAAATAACTATTTAAGCATCTATGCTCCAAATCCCTAGTAACAGCACTTGTCAACTAATTTCATCCCATTAAAAAAATAAAGTCAGGGAGCAATAGTTAGGTTTGACTTGAGTAAGATGGGGCTAGTTTTTAACTCTCAGAGTAATAGCATAGTTACCAGTCTTGGCTGTTAAGAGTTTTAACAATTATTAAGTGAGCACAACTGCCCCCCTTTCAAGAGGGATCATTAAAGAGTTGAGATCCATGCCTCCAATGATTCCGTCATCTTGTTTGAATCTTACTTTGGCTGATTATGTTATGCATTCAGTCCTCTATGCATCTCGTTCATTTCCTTTACCTGGAGGGGAAGAAGTAGAAGATCAACATTTGTGCCACTTCCCAGCCTAAGACCCAAGATGCACAAGCATCCCAGATTTTCATTAGCAAAGGGATCTGATGCAACACTAACAGAATCAAACATGACAAGACCACGGTAACACTTCAGCTTTTATAATACTTTTTAGAAAATGGTAGTCTTTCATAGCATGCTCCCTACACAAAACCTATGAAGCTACAACATTCTTTAGATTCCTTTCAAAAGGCTTTTGCTTGGGGTGAAACACTCCTGCACTAGCACCATTTGTTACTATTCCATTGGAAAGTAGCTCTTCAATAGAAACTGCAAACTCCATGCAAATACCTCAAGTTCGGTCTTCCTGGCAGAACAAAGCTATCAGCGTTTCCTGTGGATTGTATGGCCCTTGCTATACATATGTAAAACAAGTACTTGCTGTTAGCACCGCCCTCACCACAGGAAATGCAGCAGATCACCAGCTGCCTTTGAAACTAGTGCAGAAAGGAAGGTGGTGAACTTGAGTTCTTACATAGATATGAAAACTAGTTACAGAATTCGAATGCTTTCAGTCTCCTTGAACACACCTGAAGCACCCACAGCAAGCTGTTAACCTACAGTAAATTTAGGAAAGTTTCTGGACAACCTCCTCCCCACACATACACCATAAACAAAAATTAATTACCTCTGCTTTCACGTACTTCCCTTTCCTCCTCCTTGTGAGGACCTGCAAGAGAAGGACAGAATAATTTAAGTTTTCTTTAAGTCTTGACTTACATCTGCCTTCCTCTGGTTAAGACTTTAAAACTCCAAACTTAAAGCTGTCCCATCCGCATCCTTCCAAAGCGAGGTTCGCAAGAGGCTATCGCTTTCAACTACTTTAAACCAGGAGGCAAGTACTTCCTAACCTCAATTAGTTTTCCCTATTACCTTCATTTTCCACACAACTTCAGTCATGACCTGAAAACAGTGATGCTGTGCCCATCACCTCTTTCCCACCTCCCAAGTCCCAAAAGAGAAACCAGTTTACAAGGAAAACTGTTTCCATCAGAGTCCAATTACCCTGGACATAGTATTTCCTGAATTAGTTACCTATTCTGCTTGGCAGCTTTGTTAGAACTTACCAGAACAACAATTGCAGCAACTACTGCTATTACTATGACTACAATGACCGCAATGAGGCCAGGAGTCAGAGACTTCATGGAAAACTCTGGTGCTATTTCATCAACGTAGTAGACCACTGTCTTCTCAAGCTTCAACATTTCGTTATCAATGGTGAGGTTGAGTATGTTATTATGAAAGATGGAGTCATCTTTTACCTAAGAACAGATAGGAAAGATCTAAACATTGCAATAATTCATCTTGCTTCAGCAAGTATACATTAAGGCTACTCAATGCAATATACACATCTAAGTCTTTGGCAGACTTCACCCATGACAAACTCACATCTTTCTCAAAGTAGTAGGCCACATCAGCTATATCCACATCTCCAGAAGATTTTTCTGAGGAATTCTGCTTCAAATCAATAGTAATGTAAGGTTTCTCATACTGCAAAAAAATATAGTATGGTATTAAGAAAGGGCTAATTTAAATCCAGTTATCAAATACACAGCTAAGTATTATATTCCAACTTGTGAACTCCTGTTCTGAATCACATTTATGATACTGTTTAAGCCAGCGGTTTACAGTAGGATTCAGATTTTAGTGAAACAAAGTAAGAATTTATCTACTGACTGAGAACAATATGTGGCTTCTTAGTATTTCATATGAGATACAGCTATTTGCTAGCTGCTCAGCATCACCATTTTGAGAGCTTCTAGTAAGATTCATGCTGTACTGCATCTGTCAAACGTGAGTTTTCAAAGTTATCCACAACTAAATACGGTTCAGGTACGTGTTTAAAAATTATGTGCCTCTTACCAGAACATTGTTTATATAGCGTCCATCCAGCATGTAACGATTGCTAATTGTTTCCTTGAAAAACCTGTAAGGATATTAAAACCATAGCTCTAAAACCAGTACTATTTTACACATCTATTTTCAAAAGCAGGGAAGACTAGTATAATTGGTTGGTTTTTTCCTGCAGTCTTTGTGGTGGGTCATCCCCATCTGGCTGCTAAACCCTCACCTAATCTCTCACTCACTTGCCCCTAGCAGGATTAAGAAGAGAATCAAAAGGGAAAAAGCAAGAAAAAACCCTAATGGGTCAAGTTAAAGGCAGTCTATTAAGTGAAAGGGCTAGGTGGAGAAATTAAAAACCCCCAAAAGCCACCACTCACCCCTAGCAAATTGATGCTCAGCCAAATCTGAGCAATGGCTACTTACTGTACAATATGGGATCTCGCTTTGGTCAGTTCAGCTCAACCACCTCTGCTGTGTCCCTTTCCCAACCTCCTGCCTACTCCCAACCTACTCACTGGGCCAGCAGAGTAAGAGTTTGGAGGAGCCCTTAACAGTCAGCACTGTTCAGCAAGAAGTCACCAGTGCTTTAGCATCAACACTGCTTTGGTCACTGGTCTAAATCATAGCACTACAGCAACTGCTACCAAGAAAATTAACTCCATCCCAACCAAACCCAGTACACTCATTATGATACTAGAGCTCTGTTAATTCCTCCAGTGTTAGAGACAAGAGTTTGAAGTCTTTGGAATTCAGAAGAGGAGTTAAGAGAAGCAACCTTTGTTCTGGGTGGGAAAGGTGGGTAGGGGTGTATGGGGAATAGCTACAAGCACTTTTTTCTTTTGCTGTATGACCTCTAACAGAGAGAAGATTTTATTTCAGCTAAAAAATAACCAAACTCTATTTTTCCCCTGTTGCTGCTGCTGCTATGCAGGCCCTCCACCATCTTTTTCAGTTTATTTTTTGGGTAGTTTTGTCTTATTACCTTCCATCTTCTTTATTACATTGACTTGGTAAAATAAAAACTAGCTATCAGTTAAAAATGGAACTGAAACTCATTAGCAGTTATTTTATCCCCAGTAAAAATTAAAGAAGTTCCATTAAGGATCTGCAGGTAACTTTTAACATGTCATAGAAGTGAGATGTACAAGTTTGACAACACTTTTAAACTTTTGATTAGAAGTATGCTAGGTACCAAGTCGTGCATGCAGGCATTGCCGTGACATCTTACTATCATCACTTACTTCTTTAAAGTCTCAGTGTTCAGAGGAGTATTTCTGTCAGCATGTTTCATTTCAATTATGATCCACCTGAAGCAACAGGAAAAATACAATAAATATTCTTAAAGCATGTATATGTAATAATGCATAATAAAAATATAACCCCAGGCAAAAGAAACCCCCACAAAGCAATGAGACAAAAACAAAGAAAATCCCCTCCAAAACCAGTCAATGTCTCCTTGTTTCTGAAGGTAAAAAAAGAAAAAGCAGTACTCAAGTGCTCATTGTTCTATCTTCATTCATCCCCAGCACGTTCATGCAGATACACCCTCTAAAACACAAAACCTAATACAGCAACGTTTTCACCTCATAGCACACCCTGTTGAAAGACGTACCATGTTCTGACTAATTGATTGCACTTCAAGTCTACATCATGTTTGTCAGTTCTTCTAACACCAGCTGTATTCACACACCAACAGGTAGTCCCATTGCACTGCCTTGCCTTGAAAATACCAGTGTTTTCACACTCGGGATCGTAAAGGCCATCCGTATCCTGAAATGCATCTTTTGGTTTCTCACGGCGACCTGATTTTGAGCCCATCATTTCTGCTTTCATCAGCAGGCATTTTGGAGTCACTGAGAATAACCAGAAAGTCATGTTATACAGCATCAGACCGTACATGTTCAGAGCAGAGCTCCCGGTCTATAAAAACACAAGGTTACATCAGAAGCAACCAATTTGAAGCTATTACAATGAAGAGCGGCTGTCTAGTACGTAGGTGGTGGATCAGTTGACACAACTGGGCTGTGTCAGTTTCTCAAGATGCTTAAGAGGTCCAGCCAGCTTTCATTTCCTACAAAGTGTTATAGTTGAGCTGAGCTTGAACCAAGAGGAAAGTCCTGAGATAAGGCTCTCACCACGTCTGGATGAATAGGAAAAGTCATGATACGTGCTTACAAGGAAACTAAATCTTTGAGAAATCCTTGCCATTACAGGCCAAGCATTAAGGCGCACAGGGCGCTTGCCTCAATATTGATCGACCTGGATGACCAGGAAGCACCCTTCCTTCCTTACCGCCATTATATTCAAGAGCTCAGTGGCTATTTTCACGCGTCACCCCGAGTTCGGCTAGCACTGCCCCTCGCTGCCCCGCACCAGAGCGCACGCCCGGCCCGGCCCGGCCCGCCCGCGCTGTACTCACGCGTGTTGCAGTTCACAGTCGCACCGGAGCCCACCGCATCGCACCAGCAGTCGCCGCCGGTCAGCCTGCAGTTGGTGACGCGCTTGTTCTTCTCGCAGATACATGCTGGGAAAGAAGCGCGGCCGTCAGCCCGGCCACCCCCGGGGCACCACTGCTCCGCGGCGGGACAAAGCCGCCCCTCACCGCCCGGAGCCGGCCAGGCGTGGCGCACCCAGACCCGCCGCTCCTCACCTGGCCCCCCCCCGCCCGTCCCCAGTGAAAGGAGAGAACTTCCGTCGGGACCTCGCCGCGGGCCCCAGCGGCCGGGGACAAAGGGACGCGGGGGCCCCAGCCCGCTCTCACCTGTCCGTCAGCCAACGGCCCCGGCGGCGGGGGCCCAGTGCGGCCTCAGAAAGGGACCGTGGAGCTCGGTTAGGAGCAAGGGTGCCGTGGGGGAGAGGAGCGCGGGCACTTACAGTTCTGGGCATAGGCAGCAGTACACAGCAGCAGCAGGAGCGCAGCCCCACAGAACGGCTTCATGGCTCGGGCTGCTGGTGGAGCACAGGGAAGCCGGGGCAAAGTCAGCGGAGAAGCCGGAACGGTCTGTGCGCGGCGGTGAAGCCGATATGAGCCGCCCAACAGGTTCCGCAGGTGGTGGTGGCTGCGCCGCGCCCTCCCGGCTCCGGTTACACCTGGGACGCGCAGGGGGTGGTGGTGGCAGCTCCTCCTCCCGAGCCAGCTGGGCACACTGGTCCACCACGGGCCCTGCCCTCCGCACCTGGGCGAAACTGGATGGGGCAGGGCGGGTCTCTCACCTGGCCCGCCCCGAATATAGCCTCTAACGCAGGGCTGAGGAGGGGGAGAAGTGAGAGGTGTGTTGAGGTGCGGCTGGTCGCGGTAGAGGGGCTGTGAAACCTCCCCGCCCGCGCTGTGAGGGCTGGGGCCCGGGGGTGTCTGTCAGGGGCCGAGGGAGAAACTGTTAGTCACCGGGGAAGCTCTCGGGCGTGTTTGCTCTGCGGGGAGGGGACGGGACAGGACAGGAGACAACGCCGCACGGTGACACACTGGCCGGGGGAACAAAGCCTCCCCTTCTCCCCGCCTGGGACTTCCCTATCCCGCCGGTGACCGTCATCGCGGGCAGGACTCCCCGGGGTGGCTGCCCCGAGGTTATCTGCCCTGGCCTTGCGGCCTCCGGGCCCGGTCTCTCCTTTCCCTCAGGAGACAGACGCGGGGGGGGGGGGGGGGGGTGTTTTCCCTCCCCTCTGCGGGCGAGCGGCCACGGATCGTGCCCGCAGTCAGCTCCCGGCAAGCTGAGAGCCGGTAATAAACGTTCACACCTTGTAGTTAAGGCTTGTTCGCATCTAGAGGTGCCCTTTGAACTGCTCCATGAGGACTTGGTGTTTAAAACAAATCATCGTAATCCCTCAGTTAACTTGAGAAAATCTGTCTGCACAGAACACATGATTTTGTAAGGGTTTTTTCTGTTCTAAACCACGCATCAGATAGCTCTACCCGGGGACTGCTCTCAAGAGAGCTGCTTCTGGTGCTGCAGTACCTGCGCTTCCCTGTGCTTTGTCTCGGAGCAGCACAGCTTTGTGGGAACCTATGGAATGGTGGGTAGTGCCAGAGCCCTGCAAGGTTGCCGAGGAGGAAATGTAGGGACGTCTGCTGCAGGTTTTAAAATGGCTTTCCAAAGTGTAAAAGCAACGGCAAGACAGAGGACAAGAGATGGGTATAGTGTACTGGAAATATTTCTGAAGGGTTTTGAGCTTATTAGTTCAGTTAAAATATAGGCATAGATCTTTCTGAAAGATACCATAGTGACCTAGAAAAACAAATTATTTTAATTTGAAAAATTAAAATAATTATTTTAATTATTTTAATTTGAAAAATTAAAATAGAAAAAACCAAATTATTTTAATAGAGAAAACCAGAATCACATCCCTCTAAGTCTGTTTGGGCTTATCATAGAATCATAGAATAGTTAGGGTTGGAAAGGACCTTAAGATCATTAAGTTCCAACCCCCCTGCCATGGGCAGGGACACCTCGCTCTAAACCATATCACCCAAGGCTCTGTCCAACCTGGCCTTGAACACCGCCAGGGATGGAGCATTCACAACCTCCCTGTTCAACCCATTCCAGTGCCTCGCCACCCTAACAGGAAAGAATTTCCTCCTTATATCCAATCTAAACTTCCCCTGTTTAAGTTTTAACCCATTACCCCTTGTCATATCAGTACAGTCCCTAATGAAGAGACCCTCTCCAGTATCCTTGTAGGCCCCTTCAGATACTGGAGGAAGAATACTATGAGGAATTGCCAGCTTTTCCAAAAACTTGGAACTTCTTCTTACCATTGTTTGTGTTTTCTATACAATAAAAACATGTTGATGCTTTTGAACATGCAAACCTCAGTTAATGAAACTCTTTGAAACCTGAAATGTAAGTGCAGATCAGCTCCCTTTGTGGTTTTGTCTCTGTGTGCAGGTGTTTGTGTTGCATCTTGAGGTTTGTATTTACTGTTGTCTACAGTGCCTGGCTGAAACTAGGCAAGTGCTGTCTTGGGTGGGTCTGAGTTAAATGACTGTTCTTTGGGTCTGCTCCTGGTATGGCCTGAATTGGAGTTTTGCAGCATTTATCTTCATTCTCTTCTTGTAGTTTTGCTTGGCTTCTCGATGCTCTTCCAGTACGCTTGTGCAAGACTGAAATAAGAGCATGATCTTAGCAAAACGTGGGAAGACTTAAAAGTCTCCCATATGGACTTTTCTCATTGCTGCTGTCAAATGATGATGTTCTTCAGGAGGATGAGCAGGATCAATAGGCTCAGGAATGCCTGCCTTATTGTAAATCTCATTTTCTATGTAAATACAGAGTTTTGTTCAAGGTAAGTGCTATCCTGTTGTTACCACCAAGCTAAAGTATGTGGTCCTTGCTAGTAATGAATGATAGGCTTTTTTCTTTAATATGTAAATGGAGAAGAGAACAGGCTGGGTGCATGCTAATCCTCCTTGTTCTCTTGGCTCTTGATCGTGTAGGTAAACCTCTGTGTCTAGTTTTAAAAATCCAAGCCTTAGTCTGCAGTCTTGAAACCTCTCAGTGGCTACTACTGAAAGTAGCACTGCTCCTTCAACCACTGCCAAGTACCAGGCAGATCTTTGTTGTCAGTATACAAAGAAACAGCCATTAACTTTAGTGTCTAAGGGTTGAATGGTCTAGGGTATTTGTGTTGACCAAAGCAGCCTCTTACAGTGTGTTTTGCCTTTTTAGTGTGACACATTGTGTTTTCCCCACGCTGTTAGGTATCACCTATAGAAAGCAATACCATAACTGTGGTGCAAAGATAGGTGCATCACGTTGTTGTTTGTCGTACAGCATTTAATTTGGCTCCAATTTGCAGGAGCTTATAAGGAGCTTGTTATTTATAATGTCTCCAGGTTTCCAAATCTGAAGAAATTATTGTTGATATGTTGCTCAGTATTTTAGAAGCAGAGAGAGTTGCTTTATACAGTGTCATTCTCCAGCAAAACAATGGCTGGGAAGGACCATTTATAGTAGTATTAACTTTTCCCTCTTTCCAGGTTATTTTGAGGGAAATTTCTCTGTAGAATCAAAGCCAGTGGAGCAGGCACATGGTTAAAAAGACAAAAAAGCCCAGAACTACATTAAAACACATACCTTAGTGTCTAGGGGGTTGGAGTGCAGTGTCTTTTTGTACCTTTTTTGGCAATACGTAAGTCTTTGTGCTGGAATATGTGACCTTATTCAGTGGCTATTCTAAATAATCCTTCCTCAGCGTACAGCTTGGAAGATAAGGCCTTGCTTACTGGTTTTAAGCAGGATAATTTTATCAAGTGTTGGAGATACCTCCACTTATCAAATAGCTGAATGCTGATTAGGCAGTGCAGTGTGGGCTAGTTGTGGTTTACACTTACTGAAGTATAATTATAGCTTAGCCAAATTATAATTTGCATGCTAGGAGCACATTACTGGCTCTGTCACATAGCCAGAAAATGAAACAAAAAGTTTTTATCACCAGGTCCTGAAGAGTATGTGAACTTACATTAGGAAAACTCCTGTGGTCTATATTAAGATTTGGCTTTGTAATTCCATCTGATGGAGATGTGTTGGGAAAATAAAGTTCAGTTCAGTCAAGTACTCATGAGCTGCTGATGCCAGTGGGAGATTTTCTGCTGACTTCAGTGAACTGTGAATCAGATTCAAGGAGATAAATCCAGCTCTTCCTGAAGTCAGTAAGAATTAAGAGCAATACTGGGATCTGGCCTAGGCCTTTACGGGGTCACTTCCGGGTCTTCTCTAGAAATTGGGTAAAAGTGGGCCTTGTGACACTCCCCAGCACAGGAAACAGACAAAATCTGCTTTCAGGGAAAGTTGCAAGGATGTGTGAGTCACTCCTGAGGTATCAGGAAACGATGCAAGGTGCGGCTGTGACATGCACTGTGGTCAGCAGATCAGGGAGATGAGTGGAGAGAGAAAGATCAGTACCACTGGAGTATTTGGCAATCCAGCTCTAACTGAGATTCTCCAGAGCCTGCAAACCTGATTGGTTTGGGTGTATACCCTTCTAGAGATAACCAAAGTCTCATCCCTAGAAAATAGGCCATGTGTTACCAAATTGCAAAACATAGTCTTGTGTTTACTTAACAAAACTAAAGAATTTTGAAAATCCATCATGACTTTTGACTGATTACAGTTGACAAAGTTAGAAGCGACCAGAAATAGACAACACTCAAAAGTGCCAACAGGTTTTTAGGATGGTAGAATGGTAGACATTGTTATATACATTATCTATATTCTAGACTCACTCAGGAACTGTTTATTAGGACAGGTTTAGAATGTTTGTGTTCAACTTGGTTTTGTTTTTGCAGACTGCAGCATCTGCAGAGAATGAAGCCTATGAAGAGGACAATAGCGAGAAATTATATAATCTTGACCATGATGTGCTTCTGAAGAGTTCATGCCTTCACAAATCAGCATATGCTGCTGCTGCTCAAAGATGTGTAATGAAACGGGTGCTTCTGCATATTTTATTTTTCCTGCAGGTTTGAAAACAACCATATAACAGGTAAGTATTGTTACCCTGATTTGAATAATGAGAACATTTGGAGTTACGGACAATTTGAATGTTTCAGTTATATGAAGCTGGTCAAACATAGCGCCAGTAAGAAAGTAAACAGCAGTCATGTCTTTCTGCTAGACTGAGTGTCTAACCACTTCTGAACACTCAAAAAGCTAATTTACATGTTTTATTTTTAGCCTGTTTCTAGATCATGTATTTTTTTTAATCCCTTTGAATAACAATACAGTGCATAACTCTGTATTTTGCTGAAATTGTCATGCACACTGGAGATGAAAATTAGTTCTGAGGCAGTGATGACACTCATAAAGCTGTCCTCAGCCTCAGAAGCCCACAGCTTGGCTTTCTATCAGGCTTGAGACTGAAAGTAAGAGTACCTCCTAAGAGGTAAAGGGCTGTTGGTTCAGAGATTCATAAAACTAGACAGGGTGTAGCCACAGGAGAGAAGCGCTCATGCAACTGATGTATGTTCTATTTGTGTCTTTGAAGATTATAGAAACCAATCTGTGATATGTTGTGGCATCCTCACCTCTCTGCCAGGGCTTAGTCTTAGCTCCAGTGGGTGGGGTCAGCAGCAGGCTCATCATCCTTGTCTTTATTTACCTGAAGATACGTCTCCATGGCTCTTACACTGACAGCATTAGATAGAACATCTGTCAGCATTCAAAGCTGCCTAAAATGAGCAGCATTGGATGTAAAAAGCTGAATAACTTTTCATGAAGACTACTTTGTAGCAGAGAGGCAAACCTATTAATTCCATAAAGTGCTCAATCCTTCAGAACACCTGCTGGTTTAGTAGGGTTGGGAAAGGGCTCGGAGGGAAACAAGTTGTAGCAAGAGAAGCTCCATTTATATTAGAATTGTTTCAGTTCTAGCATATAACATACTTTTTTGCCCTTTTAGC